AAAAAATTCAATCAGAAACAGGCGGGCGGGGTCGAATCGATTTGCATGTCACAGCGCATGATGCTGATTACGAGTAACGAGGGCAAACGCAGAGAGATCCTCGATTACTAGAATGAAGACGGAAATTTGCAGTGGTCGGCGGAGGATGGCCGCTGATCATCATGCAAATCCTGTGGGAATATGGAAAAGGCACGGAGGACAGGCCGCAGACAAATTCCCCATCTTCTCTTTGTTGCAGTTGATGTGCTTAGTATGAAATGTGTATGTATCCCGGCGCAGATCTACTGGAGTTTCACGCTGTAGGTGACATTGAAAGCCCGCTTCCACCGTCGGTCTTCTCATCCGTGCCCATCAGATGAACTGCTCTCTCCTCCGTGTGTACCATGGTTGGCAAATCAATCCCCATCCTCACGAATCACTAGTTAGCGGAGCCATCCGAAATCGTCATGCGCATCAAAGAATAGAACACGGATGCCCAAGAGCCAACCGTGCCTGTTTCCTCGTCTGACGCGGTGCGACCTCAACAACTATTAACAATGAATCCATGAGCCGGTCAGTCGGGGCAAGCCTTGCAAAGTGTCTCTCACACTTTCGACGTGTTCAAGCAAGGGGGATCCCTGGCCGTGTGGGCGACAATTCGAAGGTCGCTGACCTTTTTTTCCATAAAGCCATGGCCTCTGACTCCAATCGGACTCAGCAACTGATGATGATGCCTTTTCCTTTCCAGGTTTTCTCCTATCTTTACGTATGCAAATGAGGATCATCGAATATAAACCAAGCATAGCGGGTCTTCCCCCCTGCGTGAGAGATCGTGGAGATTTCCGTCGTCGCCCTGTCCCGAGAGGCAAAGTAAGAAGCCATCAGTCTGCATTAGACCTTCGGAGCCGTCTGCCGTTCAACACAGACAACAAGCTGTAGCAGCAGATTGCCGGGCTGGCGGCAAACGGCACACACAGCTATACAACAACGCTGTTCCATTCTCACTCGTTGGCTTCTTCCCGATTCCGTTCGAGCGACGTCACACGGCGGCAAACTGAACGTCCCAGGATAAGTATTGTACTCCCGTTATTACACATTTTTTCCTTCCGCCCTTGTGAACGCGAAGAGGAGGAATCGCAATCCGGCGATCTTCCCTCGATGCGATGGGCCGTTGCAACTTGCAACATGCCATGATGCCAGGCTGCAGCAAGCTCCGCGTTTTTCTTCTTTCAACGTCCGTTTGGGGCCCCGGGTTTCCAAGCCGCTTCGAGAACAACGCAAGGCGGCTGGCGACAGGTTTTTTCTTCGTTCTTCCAGGGGTAACGAAAATCACAAGATAAAACAACGCCCCGATCCACGCTGATAGGTGGGAATCAACCATGATGAGGGAAAAAAAATCAAGAGTCGCCGCGCCCCAGCTCGTCCTGACCGGCTTTGGGGGCAACAGACTGGCGACAGTTGATGTCACAAGTTGCTGATCACTTCACGTCAATCGGTTTGGAGATTCTCCAGCATGACGTTGCCAAGGAACCCAACGGTTCAGAATCTGCCGGGAATACGAAAAGAAAAAATGTCGGTGGAAGAGGTGAGATGAGAGATATCAGAGCGGGATGTGCCGAGGGCGACTGTAATAGATATTGTTTAACCTCCCTCTTGTTTGCGGGAATGTGACGGAACATCTCTTTTCTGGGAGAAAAGATGAAGTTGGAGCATGGAACTCGATCAACTTCTTCCCAGCCTCCAGTAAACAAGGGACGCGATTCAGCCATCGTGCCATCATCATATATATAACGAGTTGCGGAGTACAGAGTAACTCCTCCGTGCCTGAAACCTACCTCTCCTCGCCTTCACCCACAGGCGGCAGCAGTATTCCCAGCCTCCTCCAGCCTTTCTGAGACGGATATGATTGCTTTCAATGAACAGTCGCCAAGCTCCAGTAGCTGTTGACTACTCCGGACGCTCCGCTTCTCAACACGTGGACAGCCAGGCCGGCCGCGATGTTGAACGGGGTTTGAGATCCTCAGGCTGATCTCCCGACAGCATCATCAATATCAGAGGCGGTCTGCAGTGTGCACCCCGACCTGCTTTTTCCCTCTCTGTCTCCCTTCCAGCCAGCCTTTGGAATCCGTGCCAATACTTGTCCTTGCCATGCTCTCAGCATACCAGTGATGAACGCCAGTATAATTTCTTTTCCCATCCTGCATGAGGGAAAACGCACCTTCAAGCATTTTACGAGCTGCTTCGCCCAATCGCTGGCCTGGGAATCTCCCTTCCCCGGCCCCGTTCTCAATCCGCCAATCTGCTCTCTGTTTTTCCAATTCGAATCGTTCCCCAGCCGCTGACCGGAGTCACATCCCAAGACTCAAGGCTCACGAGGAGAGAGCAACAAACAGAATCTTGTCTCTCTTTTCGCTCTCCCAACAGAGGTCGGGGTTTGTTGTTTCCGGGTCTGCGGAATGTTCGTTGACTGGCCTTCGCCATGTGTAGCTTTCGGAACCTCGCAGCCGGAAACTGTTTGATGACCGTTTGCCACCGCTTCTTTTACATACATTGCCCTCGTCCATTTTTTCTTCTTTCGATGAACAGGACGGTTTTCTTTGTCTTCCTCAATGTGGAAATCAGATCAAAGTCGACTCCCGTTTTGTCATAAAACGGCCCAAAAGTCGACCACACCTGGTCTGAACCCCAAAGAGCTTCTCTGTGCCAAGGGTGCCTATATTGATCCCTGGAGGATGCGTTCGAAACGTTCTCGAGTAAGAGCCTTTGATATGCAACAGGGACAATTCCAGAATCTCCGTGGATCCCGGGATGGCCCGTTGGCCGTTAGCCATCGACCTGTTGTGATGTTACTCCGCGCCCCATGTCGAAAAGATCCGACTTCTTTGCCCCGGAATATCTGGAGATGATCCCTGTAATCCTCACTTTGTATAAATCCATTATTATTACCGGATTTCGAGACATCTTGGGAGCGGTGAGCTCGCCTTACATGCTGGATTGACGAATAAATCAACAACTGAACACCGTACTATCTTAGCTCATGCAGTTATTTCTTGGATGAAGCTGGTATTTCGTTCTTCCCCCGGACTCGAAACTTCTACTTATGGACGCTGAGCAGAGGAACACGCCCGCAGGAACGACAGAACCAATGATCCTTTCTCCAACAGCAGCATTGGCGAATGCAGGACCCACGAGGTTCCCGGGTCTCGAAAAGGCTCATTTCGGTTCCTCCATATTTAATAGGAGAATTCAAACCAAAACGAACCCCGGCTGCAGGCCCAATGCATATGTTGGTCCTCTCCTTTTCTTCCTTTGGAGATTATGCATCTGCACTATGCACACTTTGTTCAAGCTTAAAAATCAAACCTCATTGCATCAACTCGGAAACCCAGGTTGGAATGAGTGAAGCATAGCTTTCAATTACGGACACCTAGAGTCCACGACATGCAGCTTTCATTTCTCCATCAACGCTCTTGGGGTCAGTTTGCCAGGCCTTCTTTGGCATCTCACTCCTGGTGTATATCCTCCGTCCTCGCATACATGGGAATAACGAGATTTGTTTCTGAACGCCAAGATCGTTGGAGCCTTGGGAAACCCCTGCCTTGCTCCAACTATTTGCTGCACTGCTTGAGCAAATAACCGAACACTTTGAGCATTTTCGAAATTGCATATGTTTCGATCTGGGCCAAATGGAGGCCTTTTTCAATCTTGGGGATTTGGAATGTTGGCAACTGGGCTGCACTTTGCAGGCTTGAAGTCTGCGAGAAAAAAATGATAACCGATCCGATCTGGGCCAGGACTGGATGGTCTCCCATGAATTTCCGGGGATCCTATCGAACCATACTGTTCCTATTAACCCTATTAAACAAGGCATATCTTGTTGATGGAGATTCCTACGCTCTCTTTATTATTATTATTTTTTTTTTTTTCGCACACCGAGACAGTGAAATGGGGTTTGATCTACCCTCCAATTGACCGTTTGGTAGGCTATACTCGAAGCTTCCAGGGGCACTTACTCCTAGAAGGCGAGCTCCAATATTAAGACTGACAGATCTGTAGGTAAGAGCTGCCATTGAGGCCTCTGCCGTTGTAGCGACAATATAGATCAGAGGCGGTTGGTAGACTGTCGAATGCCAGATGGACAGGGTATAACTACTTTACCATAAAGGGCTATTTCTTTTATAGCCAGTCAAGCAACCTTTGTGTGATGCTATTACTCAACGAGAGTGATTGCTAGCATCCTGGTCAGTCTCTCTGGCAGTAGCCTATTCTTTCCCTATGTGATTTGGTTACCAGGGCCTTCCCTCACCAGTCTGTAACACACATATTTTCCTCCCTAGCTTTTATTGTATACTCCGTGAGCGAAAACCAAAATGGGGATGAGAGCTAAACGCTTCTCTTTATGGGTGCCAGAGCATCCCCGATCAATTGAGCTCAAGTCAACCAAATTCCCTGGTGTTAGGAGTCCAACGGCCAGGGAACGGTCTTAACATTTGCTGAAGGTAACAGTCTCATTCTGACATTTCTGGGGTTACATCATGGGCCTCTCCCGGGAAGAGGCTGCCACTCATTGATCTCCAATGTATTACTCGGTAGAAGCTACCTTTACAGCGAACGCCATACTACAAGAACTGCTCACAGCGTCTAAATGGACCTTTCAGGTGCCCAGGTACACAAAATGAGCAATATTTCAGCTCCAGGGCCAATGCAAACAGTATTGTGGACCACCACACTTCATATAATCATCAAGCAGGTATGTAATAATAAGGCAAAACCAACTCCAGTCTCCAATCAGAACAACACCATCAAACTCCATATTCTACAAAGCAAAACAACAAGGCACGAGCCTCTCTTTAAGCGCTAGAATCCCTTAACGAGAGGGTAGGCGATGTTTCCCACTGGTACAAAGCTCTGAACACAGCCATTGCTCCAGCTTGGGTCTCGACTGTTCGACCGCGGCCACGATCATTCACATCATGCTTCTCCGCATTCACAAGCATTATGGGCTCGTTGGCTTGCCTCGTCTTGTGTTTGTGTAGGGAATGCTGCGTGCTAACTCCAGGAGACCCAGCTGCACCAGCTGCTGAGCTTTGTCGCTGCAGAAATCCAAATTCGCTTTTCGTGACGTTGGAATTTAGGTGATCAACCGCATCATATGGGAGTATGGACGTCTCTGTAGGATTGAGGTTGCCATCAGGATACCTCCTACCCCACCAGGATCCAAACTTGCCATCGTCATCCTTGGTCATGTATGCAGCGTTGGCATTATGTTCAATCCAGTCCCGATAAGCAGCACACTTTCTTTGATGCAGGTCAAAGTCACTTTCCCAATCTTTGGCACTCTTTGGTTTGTTAGGGTCACGAGACAAGAAGTCATCAAGCATGCGTTCTTCCTGCGGCCTCAACGGACGACAGAATTCGGCGAAATGCAAGAAGAATATGCCCTTGAAGGTCTGGCTATCCTGGCTGCAAGTGCCTGAACTATCACACGCATCTTCGAGGACACCTCCTCTTCCTAGCCCTTGCCATTCAGAGTCGTGTCTATCAGGCCAACCAGTTGACTTCATAACTTTACCGATAAGCTCGTGACCATCATCCAAGTAGGCAATGGATCCAGTGGCGAGCCAAAGGCCTCTCAGTCCACTAAGAATGACCCCTTGGTTATAGGTATAGAGCATAGTATTCAAAACATCACAGTTGCCGGTGCCGGGATCGTGCTCGCTCCAACCACGAATGTGGAATCCATCCGCATACAACCCATTTCGCCCAATCATATTCGAGTCTTTAAACCAGTTATATGCAGTGATGGCAGCTTCGAGATGGACGGGGTTGCGCGGAACGGATACCCAATCATCACCAGAGGTCGTTTTGGTCGACATGGGGTCACTGATAATATCGCCAGGGAAGTAAAGGTACATCCCAATGCTCGCGGAAATGAAGAGTTCATTGGTGATTGCATTCTTGTACGGTGACAGCCATGGACTCCAGACCATTCCGCCAGCGCAAAGGCTGGTGTCCCATCCTTTCGAAGCAAGCTCGTAAAAGACACGAGATCTATGCGCGGCTGGAACTCCGAACTGGCTCCCATGCCAAAATTTAAGCAGGGTGTCTTTGGTTTTGGAGTACGACGAATAGTGAAGCTCTGAATGCAAGTCCTGGAATTTGATACTTTCCAGCCATTCAAGCACCACCCAGAGCATATCGTCATAAGCCTGTAGCCGTAGTCCGAAGAAGTCCTCGCCATACCAGAATGTGGCGGTTTGTTGAAAGTAATAATCTATAAGATTATCGTATGCCAATGCATCACGAGGCTGCGAATCAGGATTGTCACAGCCGCCCGCAGCTGTGGATGGAGGCGAATGACGGAGAATCAGGTCTAAGGTTGAGGAGAGTGCCGAAAGTGTTGCAGAAACCTGCGTTCCCATGACAGCGGCGGTCCAGTCATTAGCCGATGGCCATTTCGCTTGCCATATAACGAAATAATTCGACTGCATGACACTGATGGCATCGAGCATCCATTTCAAGGTACCTTTGACAGGGCTGGGATCACCCGGGAGGGGTTTCTGGGGTCCGCCGTTTGAAATCAGACCGCTCAGCGGATTGGTGAATGGCTGTCCACCCAAAGGGAGTTGCTGACTTTCCATCAACACATTTATTTTCTGGCCCACAAAGACATTGTCCAACGGCTTTGCTAATGTTGTGTTCCCGCAAAAAAAGATGGTGAGTGGGACCGTAGCCCAGAGAAGAAACGAAAGAATGCCTTTCCATGGAGGCAGGAGTATCGACAAGCGGGCCATCATGTCTCAGTGATGACGACTCGCAGGCGTCTTGTATGCTCACGCCTGACGGTATCCAAGTCATCGAAAAGGAAGAAGGCAGAGGGCCATGTGCAGCGGTATATAAGACTCGCAGCCTCTTTCCCTGGTCCCGCCTCGGATGCGAAGAAAAGAACGACGGAATTCCCTCCCTGCCGTCGCTTTGTCGCATCATCCTTACTGCGGGGAATGGCTTGGAAGGTGGTACTCCGTGCTCCCGGCTTGATTACATAAGCAGAGGGAATAGCGGTTCCCTTCTGATATTGCTTGCAGTCAATGATTTACTACTGGCTTCGAGTTGATGGAAAGGCGACAGGGCACATTTCGGCTATCCCACTACCAGCGGTGCATTGTATTACACTTCACATATGCGTGGCCCTTTTGGGCTCAAGAAACTGATATACCAAAGGAACGAGTGTGTATTGCAATTTTATTGGTTTTGAAATTGTAGGTATCTGTAAGTAGCCGTTAGCGATTGAAGCTCGAGCCAGTTGTTGCTTACATACCTAGTCATTTGATTCATCAAGCGCCGACTCGTCTCCCCGTCCAACGCGGCGGCGCGATGAGATGCTCAATCGCACGAAGAGACGTCGTCGGCTTTAAACGGGTTCCTCACCAACATTCTTGAGAATTGCAGCTGCCACTTTTGACGTGAGCACGAAGGGAAAGGCGAACCACATTGCAGCTGTGGTGTCAAGCAACTCTAAATGTGGTATAGCTAGAAGGAGAAAGGTCTCATCCTTTTTTTTTTTTATAGCATAGAACTCGAGTTCCGGTTTCCAGAGATTACCGTTCGATACGACCGCTCGTCCGTGTGCCCCAGCTTTATTGTTTCGCAACAATTTAATCTTTCCCTGCCTCTGGGCTGCGGGTTCGTTCTCGGCTTCGACTTCTGCCTCGATTTCCACGACCACGATTTCCATTTCCACCGGCCCATTTGCCTTTATTGGCTGGTGGGGGTCGAACAAACGCAAAATCAACGTCTAGGGTCTGATCAAGTAGTTTCGCGCCATTGAGAGCTTTTATCGCAGCCTCCGCCTCGGGGAGCGTCGTATATTCTATTAATGCGTAGCCCTGTTGTGCAGCCCGGTGTCAGATTGATATATCAAAAACAAGTCATCTTTCCGCTCAGATTTCCACAGGAATGCGAGCTAAATGGACGCAGCGAACAACCCCACCTTGACATAACCCGTCCTCCGATCCAAGTTCAAGTTGAAATTCTTGATTTCGCCATAGTCGGCAAATAGGTCTGTGACATCCTCCTCTGTAGCCTCCTCGTGGATGTTGGTTGCTAGGACAATCCATCCTTCGATGCTTCGGACAGCCACCGCTCCTGCCCGAGTTCGTATGTCTTTGCCTGTGAAGGAAGAGCCGCGATCGTCCGATGCGGGTTGATCAATATCCATTTCAGATGACATTCTGAGTAAACAGCGAAAGAGTCAAAGCCGCTAAATAAGCGTATATCAGGTAGAGCGGATAATCAATGGTGTCGAGCTGCGCTGGAGCTTTCAGATTGAGGCAGGCCGCAAGAAGTCACCCAATCCCCAATAGGCTTAGCCTCCCCAGCTCCAGTCCTTGGCAGCTGCTTAGTAAACCGGGTAGTTCCTCGACTTCCTCTTGAGTCCTGACTCAGTGACTCCTGGGAACGTCGGCGTTTTCTGCGCGCGTTTTTCGATATGTCGAGCATATGCTACGGCTTATTCTTACATGCTATAAATCGACATTCGCATGTGAAAGCGGGAGGTGCTTGGAGTGCTAGTAGCTGCATGCTACATCCGTATTGCTCCTTCAAAGTTAATCCTCGTTGTATCAAAGGAATATATGGCATCGTTGACGCCCAGCGCACAAATTCAGTAATCTCTTGTGCACGGGCTTACGATGGATCGAATTGCTGCTCAATCGTCGGAGTGGAAGGAAACGGCCATCGACCAATTTCCGGTACCGTGAAGCCGCTATCTCCTGCCTTCGATGTGCTTCTTCAAATGCCGCTTCCTTGACGTTGGATATTCTAGGGTTGGCGTGCAGACTAAATATATTACAGAGTGTGCGCCCTCTCTGGAAATGCTTTACTCTCACACTGCACCCTATTACTACCTCCTACTGAATGCATGATTTATGATTTACTTCTATCTATGCGGACTAGCATTTTGCTAGTGTATATTTAATCAATCCTAAAATCGATGCTGCTCCGGGCTGCACTTCTCTACCTCTTAGGGGGTGATTTCGTGTTTGCGGGCAACGCGGACGATTGGAAACCCAGATCGGTATACCAGATTCTCACAGATCGATTTGCCCGGACGGATGGATCCACAACAGCACCATGCAACGCAGAAGACGGTATAACCTGCGGTGGAACATGGAAAGGAATCACGGATCATCTGGACTATATCCAGGGGATGGGGTTTGACGCCATTATGATATCCCCCATTACAAAGAATGTCAACGGCACGGTTCGCTATGGAGATGCGTACCACGGCTACTGGCCGCAAAATCTGTATGAGCTGAATCATAATTTTGGAACGCGTCGGGATCTTCTCGATTTGAGCAAGGCTGTTCACGATCGAGGGATGTATTTGATGGTTGACGTTGTTATCAACAACATGGCATATATCACGAATGGCAGCAACCCGGCTAAAGATGTCGACTATTCAACGTTCGTCCCTTTCAATGATCAGAAGTATTTCCATCCCTACTGCAAGATTACGAATTACGATGATTATGAAATGGCGCAAAAATGCTGGACAGGTGACAAACTCGTACCACTTCCCGATCTCAACACAGAAGATGCCAAAGTCACGCAAATGATGGCTGCATGGGTGAGGGGTCTAATCTCCAACTATTCGGTGGATGGTTTGCGAATAGATGCGGCGAAACACGTGGATACCGACTACTTGAGGAATGTTGTGAAAGCGTCGGGCGTATTTGCTATAGGGGAGGTTTATGAAAAGAACCCGAAGATTATTTGCGAGTATCAAAATTATCTTCCAAGTCTGCTAAACTACCCTGTTTACTACGCGATGATTGAGGCCTTCAGCAAAGGGAACATGTCTGTGCTTGTCGAAGCCGTAGAGAAAGTGACGGTTGTCTGCAAGGATACTTTTGTTCTCGCTGCTTTCTCGGAGAACCATGATCTGCCTAGATTTCCATCCTTTAAAAAGGAGCTCTCAGTAAGTGCTGTGGAAGCAAGAATCAACCCAACCATACTGACCGACTTCCCTAGCTTGCCAAAAATGTGATTGCTTTTACCATTCTCTCAGACGGAATTCCAATGTACTATCAAGGCCAGGAACAGCATTTTTCTGGTGACGGAGTCCCAGAAAACCGTGAAGCGCTATGGCTGTCAAAATATAATACTCGATCCCCACTTTATAACTTCACAGCTTCAGTCAACCAAATACGTCGACAGGCTATTCGTGTAGACCGCGATTATCTTGAACATCCACTGTATCCGCTATCTAACGAGAATGGCATTTCCGCATTCCGTAAAGGGCATGATGGGCGTCATATAATCGTTGTTTACTCGCGGCATGGCGAAGACGGAGCAAGCCGTAGCATCAAAATCCCAAGATGTGGACATCAACACCTGGAATTTACTGAAATTACTACTTGCCGAAATCACACTCTTGATGATTGGGGTGCTCTCCGAGTTACGGTGTACAACGGCCTGCCTAAGATATTCTTCCCTGCAAATCAGATGGGGGGAAGCGGCCTGTGTGGATTTGGAGACTGGCCTATTAGTGGTTCGAAAAAGAAAGGGGAAGGGAAGTCAAATATTGATAAAACCCACTGGACAAACGAAATCCCGGTCAACCCAAAATGGGGGAGGCGGCCAGGCCGGGAAGGATCCAGGCCAGTGCATAGGGCAAAGGCGAAGAATTCCAAGAAGAAAAAGCGGCCGAAAATCTCCGGATCTGGAAAGACATGGAGTGGATGGCCAATGCCGGTGTTAGTATCTTCATTGGTGACGCTCCATTTTGAGCTGTGAATAAGGCCGCAGAAATGTATTTCTGTTGCCGGGTTGTCATCCTCGAAAAAGCCTTTATCCCCGTGGTTGGGACGAATATGGAACTTGTAGTATTATTAAATACATATTTTGGTTTAAGCACTTCATTTACATTGAAAGTTTCCATGTGCCTTGATTGTTGGATATGCCATGAGGCAGGGTATTCGAAGGAATTTAATTTAAAGAGTTGACTCAAAATCGGGATATACTGAGCGGAGATTCATCAATTCCTAATCCAGCCTTTCAAAGTCACGATTCGTCTTATTTACCACATTGTGGTGGTAGTGCATTCAAAGCAGGGAGAATTGTGGAAATCTAGCGATCTTCGCGTGTAACTGTTCTTTGGACGTCAAGACTTTCAAAAAATAAGTTTCTCTCCCGCAAAAATGAAAAACCGAAAAACGAGAAATCGAAAAAAATATAATACAGAATCTCCCACCTTCTGGAGTTGGAATTTCTTATCTTCTATTGTTGCCTCCTCTCATTGCTAAAATCTGGACCATCCGCACGAAGATGTTCAAGAAATCCAGCTCAAGACTGATGCTCTCGTTGACGATATCTCTTCTCACGAGTCCACGTTCCGCCATGCGGGCGTGGTACAGAATCTTTTGGATATCGTAGAGTGTGAAACCACCGAATACAGCGAGACCACCATAGAGCCAGAGACGTTCAGACCACATGAGCGTTCGGGTCGCTGTAGCCGGAAGAACTAGTGGAGCGAGGCCGGAGAGAGCAACGACACAGACGCCAGCAAGTAGCGGGCCGCCGAGGTAGAGATATTTCTCCTGCTTGGCAGTGGCGCCGACAAAGGCGATCGATCCCATCATACCGACGGTATATAGACCAGCACGGGCAAGGATAGCGGGATGCAGGAACATCAGTGGAGCGATGACGGCGGCTTGAGCGACGTTGAAAGCAGTCCAGAGGCCATATTTTTGGATGTAGCTGATTATCCACGAATTAGTTTACTTGAGCTCTTTCGCATCGGGGAAAAACGGTAGAACAAAACTTACTTTTCAGGTTTGGTATAATAGGTGCCGTACATTGTTCCAATGCTGACCGCTAAACTCAGGCCAACCACCAGAAATGGGTTTGCGGCCATGATCCGATACGAAAATCCGCTCGTATGTAACGCGCGGGCAGCGATACCAATAATGCCGATACCCAAACCAGTGTGCATAAACGTATCGTTCAAGTAACTCCGTTCATAGGGAGCCATGCCACCATCTTCTCGCGTTTCACGGTTGAATATCAGATTTGTCGCCACAATACTTCCGCCCACGATGGCAGCACCGTAAAGGAGCTTTTGCGTCAAGTTTCCTCTGTCTGCCGCTTTGTATTGTTGCTGCATATACGTCCGGCGGAAAGTATCTCTGAAATTTTGCCGGGCATTGGCGAAGGAGGACGAAATGAATGGGGTGGAGGGAGTTTTGGGAGCTTGCTTTGGGGCATTGTGGATGAAGCGCAATCCAGTGTTGGTCGGTTTTGAAATTTGTCGAAAGGCCGTCGACACGGCGAAAGGCCGCCGCAGAACGAAAGCCATGTTTGCGACGATATTCTCGAGGGTTTGATATTGCAGTTGTAGAGTTGGAGAAAGATTTGAAGTCGCGGCGGGCAAAAAGCAGCAGAAGGGGGATGACGTTAACGGCTTAGTAATTGGTTCGGCATGCTGAATCTTCCAGAAGTGCAGGCTTAGCCCACGTGATGCCTGTGATGACATAATCGCCTTATCAGATGGGATCAGCGCCAATATCAGTGCAGGTCGTTATTGCGTCTACGACTTAGCTTTCACTTCGAAAAGCAGTCGCAGCGGGCTCCAACAGCTTCGTCTCCCGATCACTCGTGTTCTGAGAATGTCTCTAGTCGAGACCCATCACCTTAGCTTTCTCCCTGAGTCTCTCCCGATCCATATCGCGCTATATTGCGATCTGACGAATGGGGCTTTTCTTCGGGAGCAGCTTTTAGCTGGAAACTCAGACTTCGAATATGCATTTATCGATGCTAGCATGGTAACGAACCCCGTTTTTGACAGTAGACACCTCTGGGTGGATATCGTCCACGCGTTGCGGAGGTCTACATCTAACTGCTCCAGCGGTAGATCTTCTCCCGCAATCATCTTCTAGCAGCCGTTTTCAGAGCTGTTCGGGATTATGCCAATAATCGTCTGAAATCGAAAAATGTCCATTCGGAGATCGTATTTGCCCTTAGCGGGAACAATAATGTACGGAATAACCCTTTACTTTTTACGAACATGTCTATACGCAAGTGCAAACGTATTTAGCGCGATGCTGATGCTCTAAGAAAAGATCGCCGATTCATTCCGTAGATTTGGCATATCAGAATCTACAAAGAACCTTCTCGTGGTCAAGGTTTCTACATCGCCAGAGACTACTCACTCCAGTGTATCTAAACACTTGGAGCAAAACATCAAAGCTATACCTTGCCCGTTCACAGAAAAATCCTTAGCATCTATGGTCGATAAGGCAAGGATAAGAAAGGTGTACAAACTCGGCTCTGTTGGGGCCGAGACCTTCAAAAGACTTGACGAAATTGAGCAAGGGAAGGGTGATAGCGAAGCAAGAGCCGTAGTGAGGAAAGAGATCGAAATGCTTCTCATGGGCGCGATAGCCCTAAGGGGTGCGACATGATTGAGTTAGTATAAAATGGCCTGGCTAGAACTTCGAGTCGTCAAGTATTGTCATTATTCATAAAATATCCGTAGTCAAAATCACACAAAAGTCATGGGCAACACCAAGATCCTCCCCAATGCTATCTAAAAGGGAACACTACTCCAAGAATTGCTATAGATCACGGCGCAACATGGCGTTTCTTTTTCCAAGTACAGCATATACCCTTGCTCTCACACCATTCCCTCACAGTGGTTCCACTTACTTCGCTATCTTCTCCAATTTGATCTAGCCCTTCAGTGTTTAACCAAACAGTCAAGTCGTCCAACACAATGGGGTCATACATTAGGATCTTTTCGAGCCATGTTGGTCGCTTGACTCCATTAATAGCGACTAGTCGTGGTTGTGCTCTGATTGCTTTGGTGATTTGTTGGTTGATATCATTGCTACCCTGTTCCTCCCCAACATTGGCTTCATACCGAGTTCGTACAGACAGGAGGCTTTCCGACGCCATCGTTCGGGTAGACGACGAAGGAGTATTGCTGGCGAGTGAAGGGTAACTATATGCTCCTCCGGTAGGATTGTTGTCATTGTCGCTGTCATCACTGTCCGGAATCACAATAACAGACTGGGTTGTTAACAGCGGCGACCCCTGAGTAGTACCAATGTCATTGGATTTAGAGCTCCCTCGAATGCAGTCAGGGCTCTTGGCCGCATATCCTGTATTTTGAGATGTGGATGAAACTAGCCCCGGAATATGATTCGAGTTTGATCTTGATTTGCTTGCGCGTATATCCCGGCTCTTGATAGTATCACGTTTGCTCATCTGCTCTGCCCTAGTGACAGAATCAGGCAGCGCCGTGTGGCTCGCTGGCAACATAGCTGGAATGTGAGTTTGCTGCTGACTTTCCCAGCACTTTTCCAATAACGAGATCATCTTTTCCCGGCTTCTTAATGGCTTGAATCCAAATGAAGCTACCTTTTGAGCTAGCTGCGCTGTGGTAAGCCCCCGAAAACTAGGTATCGACTGCCCAGAGGTACTTTGCGTCTTGACATTCCCCGAGTGACGAATCTGAATTTCCGGACAGACTGGATTTTCTATGGGGTCTTTTGGTCCGGTTTGTGGAATTTTAGTCAGGACATGAGACACGTCACATGGGTTTTCAAAAACCATTTGACTAGCTACCTGGCTATGCATCGGGCTACTATCAATAGGCGTCACAAACGTGGAGGCTTCAACAGACTCGAGGGTTTTCGGGTTGCTTGAATCAATCATGTCCACGAACTCGATATCATCATATCCTCTCGAACTAGCATACCAGAGGCTTTTCGAAGTTTTGGGATTTGAACATGGAGATCTGGTCTTTTGTGGACGAGAGTTTTTTCGGGGAAACTGCGCATTTAGGTTGAAGTTCGCCATTTGTGGTTCTTCATCTGAAGAAACTCGTTCCAACTGGCTTGATGTCCCAAAGAGACACACCTGGTCTTCTAAGGATTTGAGAGCATCTTCAATGGAGGCGACCTTAAATAGAGGTGCCTCCTTGGCTTTCTTGACCCCCTTTTTTTTGGTCCCGGATTTTGATGTTTTCAATTTTTTAATAGCCCCCGAAGGGCGTTCGACGGCCTCGCCTGATGGGAAGAAATCAGCAAGATTCGACATTTGGCGGGAATCCTGATGTCCGTATTGAGCAGTAGAGAGGGATGTAATCGTGGTAGATGTAGTTTTGCGAGAGCGCCTACTATGTGTACCGTTTGGATTCACAACGCTCTTCTCCGGCGGTCTGCTAAAATCTCCCTCCGAAAAGATGTCATTGGCTGTTCCTTGGAGGAGCTAGAAGCCGTTAGCAACCTCTAGCAGCGTATATTGAAGACCACTGTTATCTTACCTCCAACCGCCTTTTTGTCGTCGGTACTTCTCTTCGTAATTCATTTTCCATGGTTAATGTTGAGCCTTTTGTGAAGCCATAGTCGGATAACATTGAGCTAAACTTTTGGCTTCCCGCCGCAGATACATTCGACGGTGATAAGTTCCGAGTTGGATCAACAATATCTATCGATGTATCCTTTATCGGTGTCCAGCTACCTCTCCTTGTAGTTGCGAGTTCCAATCGTAGTTCTCCATCCTCCCATTGCAAGCTATCTAGTTTAGCCGCTGGAATTTCGCTTGGGACCTTCGACGACTGCGTTGGTTTTGAAGCCGTCTTGGCCAGAAATTTCGTGCTTCGACCGGTTAACGTCCTGTTGGAGCTACTGAATTTCTTGGTCTTCCGGGTGCCGCCCTCTTTCGTAGGCGCCTTTAACCGTCCTTTGGGTGAATGGATTTCCGCCGACCGGTACGGGTTCCCGCGAAAGGGCGACCTCCCGTTTCTCTCTGTGCTAACCAAGAATCTGTCTTTCCCGTGTGCATCCTTGGTTCTCTCCGATGGCCTCGGCGGCACATTTTCCCTGCCTGGGCTTTGAGTTAAAACGCCAGGAGAACTAAACAAGTGATCTGAGGAACGCCCCGTAGGCCCTGCTTCAACAGTGTATGGATCTCTAGCCTCCGAAAACTCCCCCAGAAGAGAATCTAAAATCGACGATGCGGAAGGCACCGAAGGGGATGAATCAATAACGATGGGGGTTGCGGACGGCGCGAATATCTGGCCTGGCGACGGCGATCGGGTTCGGCGGCGGGAGCTGTTTAAAAAGGACATTATCGATATCACAGGGCCAGCAACGGATAACCAAGCCAGACGATGGCACAACCCATTACCTCTCCCCAAGCGCCAGCATCGGGTTCGTGAAAAAGATGGCCTGCTCCCTCGCCACCAAAACGACGTTGCGATTCTGCCGAATCCCGGAAAGCGGTCTCGTCGGCAAGGCAACGGCTGCATCGCCAAGATCTTCACCACCGACCATCTCAACTCATTACTTTGCAACTCTTCACTAATAAGACCAGCTTCGTTGGAACTTAAAGAACATGTTATATTGAAGGAGATATCATCATCAGGACTGCATAGCTGCTCCTCAACAACCATCTTCTCAAACGCCACTGATATCAAGGAGCAACTTGAATAGATATACACAGATGAAGGAACCAAAAGATACGCCACGGCTCGAACGCCCATCCCGACAAAGCCGGAAACAAGGGGCTTCAACGATCAAAAAATTGAATTCTCTATCTGCTGCATATTGACGAAAAAATTTCCAATGAAAGTACCCTCAAATCTCTCTAGCGGCGTCTCAACATTCCATCCCCAAACGGACTAGGACTGGAAAGGTCATGATTGCCTTCAGGCGTGCGGTTAGGCTGAGTGCCTATTTGCGGTTGGCTTCGATTTTGAGGTGGTGTGAGACCTGGCTGGCTGGTCATTCCGATATTTGGACCGTTTGGTGCTCTCATAGCCGGGGTTGTGGGAGTTTGCGCCGGAGCCTGAAACTGATAACCGCTGTTTCTACCATTGGTCTCCAAGCTGTTCTGGTACCCATGGGATGCCGTACGCCCCATTGGCTGTGCTATTGGGAAAAGAAGTTCCGGTATAGCCCATGTTCAAGTTGCCGGCAAACGGATCTTGAGAATTCGGAACGCGAAATCCTTGTGCCGGAGGTTGAGTTGTTGCTGAAGTGCCAAACTGACCGTAACTATTAGGTCGCCCAGCCAAAGACGGACCTGCAATTCGTGTCAGCTATATTTCCATTTGAATATACCCATTTCCTTTTAATCGACTCACGACGTGGAGTTGCATAAATGCTTTCGCCAAAAGATTGTGCTGTAGTGTCTGTTCTTGGGACCTGAGGTCCCAAGCCTTGCAATGAAGAGTATGTTGGACCGTTCTAAAGGTTCCCGCGATTAGCAAGCTATCCTCAACCAGCTGTTTTATTATCGGGGCTGCTTACTCTTCCGTACGTCCCAGGCCGAACCATAGTTCCTATCATAGGGGGCCGTAGTCGTTCGAGCTCTTGTCGAAGTTGTTGATTTTCTTGTTGAAGTCGTTGATTATCTGCACGCAATCTCTCTAGCTCTCCTCGAGTGTAAGATCCTCGCGTGATCGGATCTGTTTGCGTACAGGCGGAGTTACTAGCACTGCAGTTTGCACAACCGGTCCGATTGGAATCGCACTTCATCTTGCGTGCCTAAGAAAGACAAGCCACTTTAGCTCCTGGAACACGATAGGCCTCAGCTTATTGTAAGCCAAAACGCGCAACCGACACTTCAAGATTCAAGGGACAAAAGACGTTCTCTATCATCCCACACAATGGAAGTATCCAGATTTTCATGCAGCGGGGGTCACTCCATGTCAATAAACTGGCCTCGACAAAGGCTGTTTGTTCAGCGAAAGGAGGCAAAAGTACAATGCCTTTATACCCTTGTTCTTCAAGACAACTCAAGGTTTTATGATGGGTCGATACAAAATGATTGAAGGCGGTTATTTTCAACAAAAGCCGGACATCCTTGAAGTGCTGCAGAGTAAAAGATATTGACATACCTTACATCTGTCGCATGCCTGGCCAGTTCGATGTATACCAGCCATCTGCCCTTGCACCATTGCGGAGTAATCGGGCTCAGGACTGTTTTTTCCACGTCTTTGCTTCTTTGTAGGACGACGTTGGATAGGCGATGGAGCTGGTGCGGAGACCTGCGCCTTTTCTTGCTCTTCGACTGCCGCCATCTGGTCCGAGTCGTCCGCAGAGTCGCTGCCGTCCAGGTTGACGTATGATTCCCAATCTTCCCTATCTTGCTGTTTCCCAGAAGACTCTTGTGCTTCCCGTTTCCGAGGAGAAGACATCTTTTATGTACGTTGATGAAGAACGCCAGCTGAGAAGAAAGAATATCAAAAAGTGAAAGGGGCTCTAGGGGTTCTGATACTGATAGGTTCTGCTGATAGAAGTGTCCCCAATTGCTAGAAGGGTTCTTTCAGTGCAAAACTGAGGTGGAAAGTAAGGTGCAAGCTTTCAATCGAATGTTTTGAACAGTGAGGAAAAGGTGGAAACTGGCAAGAACAATCTGTTGTTCAACCTGGAAGAAATTATATGTTTTCTTCACAAGAAAGGCAGAGCACGTGAGGTTGATTGTGTGAAAATCTCACGGCTCTTCCCGTTCAGGACTGACCTAGCATGCTGGTTAGCGCGATAAGAAGGGGATAGAATGGGCATCCTGTTTCCCCAAAGGGAACAATTGATGATGCCCTTTCATAGGGCTTTGTGAAAAGTAAGAACCAGAAAGAACATGCATGTTGAAGGAAGGTGAAAGATAGTTGGGTCCTGATTATGGCCCCTTTTAAATATTGACAGCAGAGAATTTGACAGTGGCAGCCATGGCCACTGAGAAACAGGTGAGTAGAATCTGAGCAGTGCTTTGATAGCAGTAGGAACAAGCTGACTTTTAAGCAGTGGCTTGGTTCCCTTGCTTTCAAGGATACCATTGTTTGAACGAGGCCATAGAGGAAGCTATAGAGACAATACCCTGTTTATTACATATATAAACAATGAATGGACTCCATAAGGAACGAGGCGCTCGCAACTTGACTCGATACCAGCGGAGTCGTGCATTAGGACTCGCTGGATTAGCTGCGCCGAGAAGCTGCTTCACCCACGCATCTCTAGCTTTCTCTCAAACTCAACCCGTCATCAACTAGTTTAATGGGATATTCGATTCATCTCGAGACGAGAACGGGTTGAGTGCTCTGTCCCAGCTACAGTACACTGCAACCCCCCGTATAAAGCCCTGAATATACTACGGGCTAGACATGGTTTACATCCTTCTAGCCGTTTCGATGATTCGTACATGAGCTTAAGTATTTCGAAATACACAAAGAGGAAATCTCTATGGACGATGGGCTTTGCGAGGCCAGCATTTTTCCGCCTCGAATCGGATGATAGCTTCATACTTCTCACCTGCACCCCTTTCTAGTTGGAAATTGGGGTTGGTTGAAGATGAGCGCCAGTGATTGATTTCCTGGCATCCCAGACATCTTTTATGATCGTCTTTTTGCGGTTTATAAATCAGCTTTAGACAATGTATTGTGCACTAGGTTGTCGGCGGATACACCCAGGCGTGCTTGTTTACTTGCGATTGCTAGTCTTTGGATCATTCGCCTTGCATAGCCACGGATTGACCTACAACCCTTTTTCGTTCTAGCTAAAAGCAACTCCTTTTAGATTCACTCTGGCCTGACGAATGACTTGACCTACGAAGAATCACTTCCATGGCCGTCTTCACTCATCGCCTTCTACCTTTGTTACTCCCCGATATCGATTGAATTGTCAGCTAAGGAGCATCCAACCCGGGAAAAGATGATCCCACAGGCGCACTTTCAAGCGGCAAAAGCTCGGTTTAATCATCAGATGACAAGTACAGAGAAACCAAACGCTTCCATTGTATATATGCTACTACCTGACCATCCTTCTTTTCTAAGCCCCATAGGTTGCTCTGACTCCATCTTATAAAATACATCTTCTTCTAAGACAACGCCAATGGAAAACGATCTGTGGAATAAACCAATGGGGACGGAAAACCATCAATAGCTCCCCGCAGAGGTACATACATGGGTGGAAGCAGGGCTGTAACCAAAAGAAAAAATGGCAAAATGTTAGATGCGAAAGTTAACAGAATAAGCTTTCTAAATCAGGAGACAAAAAAAAAAAGTTCCAAGACTTTTCTTGTACAAAAAAGTTCAGGAATAATAAGCCAAATATGTGGGTGTACCGAGTACAGAAGTGGAAAAAATGCTCATGTTTCTAAAGCCTGACGGGTCATTGCAGTCGTTAAGTTCATGGCGGCTTCGATGCATTATATTCGGAAAATAAATCATGGTAGTGGTCATGGCCTGAAATGAACTTGATATATACATCAAGTGATGGGTTCTGCGGTTGGCTGACTTCGAACAGGTTGTTTTGCAATGCACGAGACACCAGCCGATGGGGAAAGTATATAATCATCCTAGAATTGCCGCTATTATCTGAGGAGCCTTTCGGTGTGCGCCACGGTCACGAAGCGTATTCGATCGCTATACTTTCGATGGCAGCCGAATTCAAGCCAGGGTGTCAAGTTCTTGCACTGGCTCACGTCGAAAACGCCAAGCATAGGACAGTTTTCTACCACTGACTCGACGCCGGTGCCTGTGACCCGAACACACCCGCGGACAGATAACTCGTGGAGAAGGGGGAGATGCAAGCCGATGGAGCGAAGAGAGGCGTCAGAAACCGCAGAGCCGCAAAATGAGAGGTTAAGATAAGTGAGCTGGGGACATCCAAGTGCAATCACTTCTGTTGCAGTGTCTGACAATGCACAGCAAAAGGACTAAGGCTATGGTTAGTTTGCATTAGACAGGTGAAGGTGGATACGGGACGCTACCAAATCAAGTTCCTGGAGCGCTTTGGCAGCATTCGTGAGGTAAACAATTGCATTATCCGTCAAATAAGTGCAGTCCGCGAGGCAAAGCTTCCTAAGGCGAAAGAATTGCACGTTTCCCCAATATTGAAAGCCCTGGTCAGTAATCGTGGTGCATCGTGTCAAATCCACCTCTTCTAGACGAGAAGCAGCATGCGCGGCAATGTGATGCATGGAACGGTCTGTGACGTGCTTGCAATACGACAGCGTGAGCCGTTTGAGATCGGGGCAGCCATACACTGCGCCAGCCGGCGTTTGAATAGGGGTTTGCATGGGCCCCTTTTGTCCTTTCCCATTCGGCTGCGGCGGTGCATGAGGACCAGGGACGAACCATCCAACGATCCGGGCCAATAAAGTATCGCTAACCTTTCTACAATTACTGAGATCAATCTCCTGTAGATCCTTGGCCTTGTTTGCCATATCAAGGATCGCCGGAGCCGTGACATCCCAACACTTTTCATCCTTAATGCTCGAAGGTTGGTTCCACATGAATTAGCCAGGGCATTGAATCCTTCGTCGGTAATATGAAAGCAATTGTTGATATCAACAACGCGTGGTCTGCCTCCAATGAACGGGCAAATGAAATCTGTGATAACTTCATCTGTGATCTTTCGGTTGTAGATGCTAAGGTCAAGGAAATGCAGGAGGTGAGGTGATTTGGTGATTAGGTTGGACCAGTGACGTGAAACCGACCGCAATCGAAGAAGGTGGTGAAGTTCCATATGTTGGAGGATGGTAATTAAGATATCGTCGTTGAAGATTCCGCGACTGTTTCCGAAGCTAGGCCGGAATACTGGCTTTAAGGAGCTCACGGATGATGTTGGAAAAGCCTGAACTTGCTTGGACGGTGACAAGCTGCGTGGAGAGCGATTCAAGGCGGGTACCTGGGAGGACTGGTCTGCTGAGATAGCGTCATCTGGAACGATAGGAGCAAGCGAGCCACGTCGTGATCTCGCACGCATGTTATCCAGATCGACGCTAAGATAAGGGTCAGGATCTGACGGCCGCAAAACCGGCGCATCTTCGAGATGGTTTGGTTTGTGGAAGCTATCTAGATCGCTCTCTGTAAAGGTAAGCAGCGGCATTGACTGTCTCCGGGTCGTTGGCATAGCCGGTTCACAAGGATCAAAAGCTCCAGCTGGCGGTGCATCCTCCATGACGACATCCCCGCCAGATGCAGCTTCCAGTCGCTTTTTAGCGGTGTTCTCAACTTGTTCCTTGATATTTTTCGGGCAGCGCTCCCAAAACTCAGAAAGAACTTCACCGCTTATCATCAAGCATTCTACCGCACTTACAGAGCGGACGGTGGCGGTTCGCCGTGGTGCCAACGACAAGCTGACAACTTCGCCAAAATATTGCCCCTGTCTGAGCCTGGCTTTGACCTCCACACTGCGCAGGCTTTCCGCATCTGCACCTCGACGTGTGGCACGAGGGTCTGGCCGTTCATTGATCACTTCAACTTCGCCCCGGACGATAAAATAGATCTCTCGACCGTAGGAGTCCTGTCGAATGATATCTGTAAAAGGGGGAAATGTCCGTGGCTGTGCGTTCAGACCAAGAAAGTGAAGGATATCTGGAGGTAGCTGAGAGAACAGAGGCAGTTCTTTTAGGAGCATCCGAACGCTCACAAGTCCGTTTGCTAGGGCGCTTGACGTAGACGTCTCCGCTATGCTCGGGCTAGGAGATTTCCGCTTTTTGCTGATGATGTCAAAGCGGCGCTCATCGTCCAAGCTCATGTCCCCGGAGAATGCATCACGCAGTCGTTTTGACCCACGGCGCTCCCCAGCAAGTCGCTCCGGGCGCATTGGCAACGGAGCAGCTTGAGTCTTTTTCTTCTCCAGGATTTGTAGTCTTTCTTCAGCTTCTTCTCTGATGGCTCGTTCCACTTCGGGAAACCTTGGAAGAATACCCTGGAGGTCCTCCTTGGTCAAAACCACGAGCAAGCACCGCGTACGCGCAATGATTGTTGCCGTCCGCGGTCGATCCATGAGGATCCCAATCTCGCCAAAGAACGCGCCCGGCTTCAGCTCAGCATACACACTCTCCCCGTCCCGCGACGTGACGGCCACCGCACCCCGCACGAGCCAGTACATGGCCTTGGCCTCATCGCCTTCCGTCAGGATATAATCATTTGGCGAGTTTAGCTGTGGTCGTAGCCGCAGGCCGATCTCCGCGAGGAAAGATTCCGGGGTTGACTGGAACAGAGGAAAGGACCGCAGGCGGTCGATCAGATCCAGCGGCATGCCCCGAATCTGCGATGCGGTGAGAGGCGACGGATGGATAGGACGAGAAGGGTTTGTTTCCGAATTGAACGTCCGGATCAGGGACATGGGGTCCGCGCCTACGGCGGCCGTCTTGCCAGCCAACGGGGAGGCGCTAGCGCCTCTGCTCATGCGCCGCATCCCTCCTGGCATTCCAAAGCCTGAAGTCGTCTATCAAGTGTTGTGTGGCAAATTGCTCACCATGGCGATTGACGAGATGGACAAGCAGATGTACAGCATTCGAGGATCGGGGTCGAGGGCCAGCGGGAGACTAAGACGTTGCACACGAGATCAAAGAGTCAGCTTAGAATTCGACGTCGCGAAACAATAACCAGCCAAAGTAGCAATAATAAGACTAATAACCGCAGGACGGGGTCTCTGGGGAAAGTCTGACACGGGGGAGGTCCCCAGCAGAAGCCCGGTCGAAAGAATGGATTTGGGATCTGGGCTTACCGTTGCACCTGCGGATGGCGAGCCGGTTAGCGTGCCCAGTTGGCCAGAGTTTGTGACGCAGCAGGATGAAACAACCCAAGAGCACGAAATGATCCAGCAGCAGCACGGCGGCTCCAGAGCTCGAGGAGTGGCAGACGGAGCGAGGATGTGGGAGCGAGGGCAGCGACGCAACCGTGCGAGCTGGATGAGAGGGGAAATGATATTCACGCATCAAAGAGCCCGCGAGCTAAGCAATGCACTGCTACCAAACGCGATTATTTTTAAACCATCCAAGCTCCGATACGGGGGCGAAGAAGAAGCCCCAGCCCGGAAGCAAACAAAGCTTTTTGAGGGCGTGTGACGGGTCATTCTGGGAGGCAGATCTACGGGGCATCGATCGTAGTGAATTATAAACTAGTTACCTGGTAGCTGTGGAATCAGCTCGTCCCTTTGCCTTCTCAGGCACATTTGGGGGATGCATGCTCGTATTCCCATCGCAACCAAACGGCCAAAGCTTGACTCGCCCTCGACGGCGTTCTCCCGACGTTCTAGAGGCCTTCTGTCGGCGCTGAATCTGGGGAACCGCCGCCAAGTCGGAGGAGAAAATCCCTTTCATTTCTAGTGTGTCTTGGACGCCCGTTTCACCATCACGGACGGTTTACGACCAAACTGACATAAAAGAGTACATTATTGCTGAGTCGTTGTAAAGAAATGCTTGCACTGAAAAGACAACGCCGCCCGTCTTTGCTCCCTGCCCGTTGAGGCCGCTCACCGCTTCATGTGGTGAGGCTGCTGGTGGTGATGGTGATGGTGCTGGTTCACGTCCGCTGAGACACTGCTCGCCGTTTCGGGGGGCCGCTCCTCTGCAGGAACGCCCCTTTCCGCCGCTTTACTGCCTTTCGGCACGTTGTCCTCGCGCTCGAGTCTCTTCAGGTCGTCTTCAACCCGCACCTCGTTGGCTCCGACCCCCTCCAGCCCCGATCCGTGATGCTTCCCGTGCTTCTGGTCACCGTGCCGGTGCTCTACCGATGATTCCCCCTGCATGGGACGCCCCAATCCACGGTTGACATCTGCAGACGTTGCTCCGGTGATTGTGGAGCTGGCCGTGGTTTTGACGGACTCCTTGCCGTGTGCCCGCTCGACGTTTTCATTCAGCGCCTGGCCGGGAACCTGTTCTATTGGGTTGGGCTGGAATGTCCGGTCTGGAGGCGCTGTGCCGGGGGCGAACGTCTCAGCCGCGTATTCCGGGGCGTTGTCGTTTGGCGATGCCTTGGCCCCGGGTTTGTGCTGCGGAGAGTACACGCCGGTCAACATCTCGCCTCGTAACCTAATCGCGATGGGGGGCTCAAACAAGGCCAATTTACCTTTGGAGATTCAAGGTGCTCAGACTTAGGAGGATGCGGGTGGAATTGTCCGTGGAGATTGTGAATTTCAGAGGTACTCATTGTGACGATCCGTTCGTGATGTTTGAAATAGCTAAACGTGTTTTCTCGTAGGCAAGAATCTCCAACCTCAACAGCTCAATTTGCATATATCGTTCCGTGTATGTTCATTCATATACTCTAAGCAGCGCTCGAAATCCCCGTTTCTTCCAATTCCTTTCAAGCGAAACGGCTATACTTGTGACGTCACTCGGCTGGACAGTGACTTCATCCAGTCTGAAGGTGGCCAAACTGAGTACATCCTCTGCTTGTCAGTTCTAGAAATTTCAATTGTACTGGAGCTCTCCAGCAATCTCTACTTGCACTTATGTCACACTTGCCTGTTCGTGGTCCACCTTTGGCCGTTTGCTTTGATGACAGTGGCACTGATGGAACGTAAGACTTTGTATTCCGGCCGGAGTACATGCATTAGACCAACTGAAGCTCCAATAGCTATGGAGTTTCATGTGGAAATCCAGTTACGGATCAACCTTGCTGTCGAATTTGTTGGAAACGAAGTCCCGGCAACAGGTTCAAATCGTTCCATCCACGGTACATTTTGGAACTGTATGATCTATACCTGTTGAATATGTAGCAGATACGTACAGCTGCTCCATCCTGCAGGGTATCCGTCTGTTCGATGAACAGTGCCAATCCTGATTCTGAGCATTATGATGCCACAGGGACGAGTTACTCTCGAGGGGAACACCTTTGTGTGATGGCTATATAACTCGAACTCACCTGTTCAACTTAGTCACCTATCTCTCCCTCTCACATATTCTCATAGCCTTCTAGGACCGCCAAAATATAATCCTAAATCGATCAAATTGACTTCCATCGAATCAATCTTGCTCTAAACAAACAGACCACTTTCTACAATGGATCCCCAGCAATTATCCCCTGAGGAAGCCGCCAACAAGGCCCGTGGCTACAAGGCGTACGTTCACGCAACCAAAGTGCCACCCTATTGCCATACCAAGTACACTAACGCCGCTGACAATACAGCGCCATGCACAACCCCAATGTCTCCGAACAAGCCAAAAAACACTCCGAGCAGGCCCTTCACGACATCGAAGGTACCGGTCAGCCCGAACAGCTACAGGAAGCGGGAGAGGAAGGTAAAGACCCAGGCAATGTTGCTCGGGGCTTGAAGGCGTAAGTCATACTTTATCCCGTCAAATTGGCTGCTAAGAAGGGGTATTGAATGTGTTAATATTCAGTGCTACCCACAACCCGAGGGTTTCTCAACGAGCAAAGGAAGAGGCGGAGGAGAGGCTGGAGCGTATGGGTGGCGAGTAAGGGGAACAATAGTAATAGTTGACTTAAGGGATGCTTCGATGCTGAGCATTAGTGTCTCCTTTGTGTATTGAATTGAAAATCAGTGATACTAAATGATTACGACTATTTTCTCACAACGTCATTCTCTTCTCGTGGAGTTCAAATCATGTCAATGCCTTTCAGTAAATAATATGCAATCCTTAAGTACACAAGATATCGCCCAAGCATAAGTCTGAACAAGTTATCAATTTAGTCCAGGATAATAGGGAAATATTCCAGTCATCGGGTATTGAAGCAAGGCACATTTGAGAGCTTTGCAAAGTGATCAGATCGGGTCAAAGACGTCCGCAATGTCGTTGGCGACAGCCCAGGGAACGACAGATGGATTAATATAGAGATACCCACGACTGTCTTCAAAAAATCCAAAATCCGTGACCCAATCTTCAATCTCCAGAGGGCAGATTTGGAAACACCGCGCCAAAAGGGAAACCATTATAGGCCCCGGATAATACAGACGCAGCTTACCAACTGCGCCAACCAAGAAATGAACCCTTGGTGGACGGACCGATTCGAAACCCAGGAAAGGAGGTCTAGGGCCCACAATCACCAACCCATAGCCCGGTAGCTGTTCACTCACCATCTCAGATAGCGACAGGCAGTGTCTATCCAAGTCACAAAATATCAACCCTTCACCGCCAATGTCATCGGGATGCTGAACGACTGGATAGCCAGCATGGCAGCAAGGGTTGAAACAAGACGGCATGTGAGGACTGGCAAAATCCCTGTGGCGCGTTCCATCCCCGGCTCCGACTGGTATAAGTGTGAGGCGCAAATCATCAATGGAATCATCCAGGTGCGGGAAGCGGCCGCGGTTAGCAGAATTCCGGTGGTGCGCTCTACCTCCAGCTCCGAGTCCTGCAAATGCAATTCGCAGGTCTTCGACGGAATCGTCACTTGCTGTTCGGTCGCGGTTGGTTAAATCTCCACGGCGTATTCTATCGTTATCCTCGGGACCTAAAGTTCGTGGATCATCAACGGAATCGTCACTCTGTGGACGTCGATTGCCTGGCTGAGTTCGCGTATTTCTCCTTTGAGAGCTGGATTGGCCGACCCTGGACTGGGAAGAACCGCCTCCTTTGTTGCTAGGAGGAGCAATCTCGGAATATTGTGGTGGTTGTTCGCTCGGTTCGTCAGGCATTGTAAGAGATTCCGGAGAATATGGTCAATGTGAGTTTTGCTGTCTCTCAAAACTCGTGATGGCTTTGGTATTTGGTTGGCAAAGCTGTCGAAATGGAAAGGTTTTCCGGGAAGCAAGAAGATATTACTCTTCAAAATTCTTTCTTATAGACCACGGGTCTCTTCAAATACCAATCTGACATGGCCATTGAAATCGCTAGTCTCCAGGAAGCCGGTCGGTTTCAATTCGTACATCACGGTTTGTCACTGTAACCAGGCCTGGTGAAAGGTGATCAAGCGGTTCTGTATCATTGGTCATCTCCGCGAAATTTACTCGTTACCCAGGTAATATATCTTGGTTTGTTCCCCTTTGCTACTGCTAGGGCGTCCTGGGCCAACCCGTAGGCAAGACTCAATTTCAGTCCGAGCTTTGCCGTTCTTGCAGCGGTATACACATCGTGACGAGCTGTAGATCACCATCATGAGCTAAGTCCAATACTCGAGTCATATATGGTGATAACAACTTACCAAATAGGCTGTAAATTCCAGAAAAGGTCAAGCCCGCGGTCACAGTGGAAAAGAAATCCCTAGGGCCGTGACGGGCTTGATTGACGATTTCTTCCAGGAAGCAAAACCCCAGCACCCCCACACTCAATTTTGTTCCGAGTTTCATTCCATCCTTCAATCCCCCAAGCATGGAGGTATAGTTCTTGCTCTTGTGATACTGATACCACCCAGCGGAGTCCGTCGGGAAACGGTGGGCATTTTCAGCACGAAATCGAAACGCCGCTTTTGTGCTGCCGTGGGAAAATCCGAGGCCAACTCCAGTCGCAAAGGCTACAGTGGCTGCCAATACTCCCTGTGCACTGAGTTTGATCCCAACTTGAGGTGGTTGTTCCGTGTTGAAAGCCGTGGATATCGACCCGTGCTCTTCTGTAGGCTGATCTGTTGGCGGCATACTTGTGGCCCTGTATCAATTGGACGGGCAGGTTATAACCCGGAATCCAGAAAGAATGTGGAATCGTGACCGTGGAGCCTGGGTTTCGATTGACAGGAGGTCTACATCGGTTGGTGAGGAAAATCCTCAAAGCTTCCGCGTCGAGTTTGCTCGGTTTGCTCGGTACGCGACGATGCCAGGCGCTTTCTTTAAGAAGCACGACACCAGCACTGGAACAACGTTTTGAGGAGCGACATTCTTAACATGGTATGAAGCGCCTCGTTTGAAATCATTCCTTGGGATTCCGGTCTTGTGCTAACCGGTAGCTTTGCAGGCAAATCCAAACGCCAACCCGCTCAACTGGACCTTGCGCTTCAAAAACCACAAGCTCACTGTCGTTTTGCTCGTGTTTCCCTTAGAATCATTTACGAACATCAAAAAAATGTTGCTCGAGGCCCTCAAGGCACGCGGTATTACGGAGATAAATGGCGTTCAAGTCCCTGAAGACTCTTCCGAGATAGAGCTCGGTATCCCAGTTGACAGAAATAATCTGGAAAAAGGCTGGGTTCCATTGGAAATCTCCCCTCCATCCGAAGGAGCAAAACGAGACGCTACCGGAACGAAGAAGACTGTGTACGGTGATAATCCGCAGGACGCTGATTTGCGCGACTCCCAAGCTTTGGCGTTCAGGTTCCGTACGAAAGAAAACAACGATGTGACAGATATGGATATTGATGGCTTGGGGTGGGATGTCTTGATTCCTGCCTACGACGATGATGATAAGGACGAGAGATGATATTTATTGTTTTATATTTAAGGAATTGGGGTCGGATATTGGCGTTTGGTTGGAAATACACACGAATGTCCGGCGAGTGTAAAGGAGCCATGGTGTCCTACGACTGCTATTTGAGATGCATTTGGCAAGATTTGGTGCAATAGTTACTCTCTAATATGTTCGCCGAAACCCCTATTAGTGAAAGTTGACTTGAAGGCATGGCCTGCCTGGAAAAGCGCCTGCACATTTATCCTCACGCCTGCTTGTCGAGAATACAGAGTAACTAGTGGGTGTCAGTTAAAAAGCTGATATAGATCGTGGCCTTTGAGTGCAAAATAGTGGCCTTTTGGCAGGTACATACAATGCTTGGAAACCATTATTAGTACTGACCCTTATTCTTACATGATTTTCTATGTTATTTTGTCTTTTGTTTACAGTCGGTAACCCGATGCAAATTCATTAGTTACAGAGCTCCAGCTCTGTCCTGCTATTACCCGTCCTTCAAAGCCTAGGGCCACGCACACCGGCAACTAACTAGCTTAATGCCACGGAAACAGGGCATCCGACCACGCAGCGATGTGCTTAGATAATACGCTGCTGCTGTAGCAACCGGAACCGGATAAACATCATCTTTCTCTCCCCAATCGGGCTCCAAGTCAACGAAAGCCTAAAGGGGAGCTTTGAAGAACTGGGGTCATTGCAAGCGGCGGCCAGGACACAACGACATCTTTTACATGGTTTTGTAGCTTTTACTCTTTTTCACTTTTATATTCTCCCATTATAGCTTCACCTCAATTGAAAGCTGCGACGAGCCTGACGTCTCTGCGTCCGGGGATTGTTTACACATTCTTCTCGCTGGCATGGCTGCCTCTGGCGGCGCGTCCTCAATTTCCGTGACAGTTAGGGTGCGGCCATTTACCATCCGTGAAGCTGCCCAGCTTACAAAATGCGACGATGGCCCGCTATTCCTTGGTGATGGCTCGTTGGCTGGCGTTTCCACCCCCAAGCTTCAGCAGAAAGGGATCCGATCCGTGATCAAAGTGGTGGACAGTAAATGTTTGTGAGTAGCAGATTTCTCTCGACGTGGTTTTTTTGATTGCAGTTGCTAACCTGCTATCAACTTCAAGAGTTTTCGACCCTCCAGAAGATAACCCAGTCCATCGATTCTCGAGAAGCGTCGTGCCCAATGGAAAGCGTGTCAAGGATCAGACCTTTATGTTTGATAAGGTATTTGATGAGAACACGACTCAGGGAGAAGTGTATGAAGCAACAACACGCAGTCTCCTTGATAGTGTCCTGGACGGGTACAATGCCACGGTGTTCGCATACGGAGCCACTGGTTGCGGAAAGACTCACACGATCACCGGAACCACCCAACAACCAGGAATAATATTTCTAACCATGCAAGAATTATTCGAACGTATTGCTGAACGATCTGGTGAAAAGGTAACAGAGGTTTCCCTTTCCTACCTCGAAATATACAACGAAACCATTCGAGATTTGCTCGTCAGTGGCGGACCCAAAGGTGGCCTCATGCTTCGGGAAGATGCCAAACAGTCAGTTTCCGTGGCTGGTCTGTCTAGCCACCATCCTCAAAACGTACAAGAAGTAATGGACATGATCATGAGAGGGAACGAATGCCGAACTATGTCTCCGACAGACGCCAACGCGACATCTTCACGGTCTCATGCTGTCCTGCAAATTAACATTGCACAAAAGGACCGAAACGCTGACATTAATGAGCCTCATACGATGGCCACCCTCAGTATCATCGACTTGGCTGGAAGTGAACGTGCAAGCGCGACTAAGAACCGCGGAGAGAGACTAATTGAGGGTGCTAATATCAACAAATCTCTCCTTGCATTAGGGAGCTGCATCAACGCTCTTTGCGATCCAAGGAAACGTAACCATGTTCCTTACCGCAACTCAAAACTTACCCGATTGTTGAAATTCTCCCTTGGAGGAAATTGCAAAACCGTGATGATTGTCTGCGTCAGTCCATCAAGCCAACATTTCGATGAGACCCAGAATACCCTCCGATATGCGAATCGGGCCAAGAATATCCAGACCAAGGTTACCAGAAACGTGTACAATGTTAACCGCCACGTTAAAGACTTCCTCGTGAAAATTGATGAGCAAATGGCTCTGATCAACGAACTCAAACAACAGCAGAAAGATTACGAAAATATTGCATTTGCGAAATTCAAAAAGCAGACAGAGAAAAGAGATGGGATTGCCCGAGAAGGGGTCTCACGCCTTCGCAGCGCTTATGAGCATGCGGCGCCTGAAAGGCAGGAAAAGGTCAATAGTATGCTACGCCTAAGGCAAATTAGCCGTCGTATCGCCTTGCTTTCCTCGTGGATAGCGGCGTTTGATGGCGTATGTGCTAGCAGAGAGGGTAGGGGTGGGTTAGGGAATCTCCAAGCGGTTCGAAAAACTGCCCAAGGAATTCTGCTTGAGTTGGAGGGTAGCCGTCAACACTATCATCAACGACTTGCCAAATGCAACTGGGAACGAGGACTGAATTCAGCATTGGAAAACGGCATCAGGCAGCTCAAAGAGGTCGACACCGGGGACCACATGGATATGGAGAACTTAAAGCGAGAAGCTGAGCTCTTGAAATCCCAAGCAGAAAGAGATGCATTGAGCCAGGTGTCTGAGCAGGAAAAGGCTGGAGACATGGAAACGATGCAGATGTTGTTACAAGCAAATTTCGAGACGATTGTCGCCATCGAGGAAATAACTCAACTCAGCGAAGATGAAGCAATTGAAATCGGCAAAAGTATTCTCGGGAAACTTTTACAAACATGCACGGTTACCGCAACGCAGGTAGTCAAGCCTGATGGAAGCCCCATCCGGCTTGCAGCCACGCCTACATTCAAATTAGGAAGTCCAAAAAAGCGAAAGAAGTTCAGTCTAGGGGGTGGAGTCGCACTGCCTAGACCTGTTCGTCTCTCTTTGATTCCTGCATCTCAATCGCCAGCAAAGGCCTCTCCAAGGAAGAGAAAAGTCGCTGCTCCGAAAAAGGCAGTGGCTTTTACGCCAAAGAAAACCACAAAACCTCCCAAAAGAAGCGTTAGATGGAAGGATGATGTTGAAGACGGGGTATTAGCCGAATTCGAAAAGACGCCACAGAGACAGCAACCGTCACCACCACAGCCTTCGTCATGCGAATCTACATTACCACCAGTTCCTAGTATGGTTTCCGCTATTCCGCTACCGACAGCTGGTGGCTCGAGGGAATCGTCACCAATCCCGGCTCCTCCAGAATTAAACGCAATCAATGTCAAGAATAGTAGTCGATTTAAGCCCGGCTTCTTATCAAAACGGGCAAACGGGTCTCCGATACCACCTCCTCCTAGTTTGACCAAGCTTTCATCATCCGACAGCGAAGGCTCGCCGCTGCGACAGATTGAGAACGGCAGCTCTATCAAACGGCAGTCCATCGAACGGTCCAGTATTGGCCAATCATCGGACAATGAGGAAAATTGGAAAATCGACAAGTTTGAAGCGATGCGAATCAACTCAGCCATTAGGCGTATTTCAGGAAGCCATGGCGGAAGCATCAATTCCGGGGCAGCCATGTCTCGAATTCGCCGGCGCAGCCGAAGTCCCACGGCAGCGTCATCTAGCCCTATCAATAACGAAACTACGATGTTCACCGCATCACAGGCAAGGCGGATGGTAAAAAGCGAGAAAGATCATGACTTAAGAGTCAACGTGCTGAGCCCTCGAACTCTGCCTGTGATGAAAAACCCGGGACAGCGGCGCATCAGCTCTGCGGAGGTTAGACCTCGTGAAATCATTGCGGGTAGAGAACACGTTCGGTACAGCGCAACAGCAATTCCAGCTGGTGGAAGTTTGCGAGGGAGCCCCCGGGGATCAGGAGATGGAGTATATCGATAGGCTATGCGTTTGCTGTCATGGAGGGGTTTTAGGGGCATTCTTTTTGAGGCGTGGAATTGACATTGGCTTTGGGACTGGTGGGCATGGGATTTTGCTCGTTGCGGATTAATTTGAAGCCTTTCTTCCTAACCATCTCTTTCTTCTCTGTATTCTGAATATTGTCTTTTGGTGTTGTTGAAATTCGCTGGGCGAGGAAGGGTATTCCGAATTCCGCAATATATATTCTGGCATCTCCAACCTTTCCAAATGTCCGGCGACATCTAATTTGCGCCTCATTGGTGGCAAGCTCGATGAGAATAAAATCTGCAAACGGTTACGATGTTCAGGGAATCGCCTGGAGTCGCATCGTGAAGCATCTGTAAAAGTGGCGTTCCAGATCTGGTGTTTTATGATCCTGGTTTCCAGTCACCGACTTCAGCCCACCTTCTCCTCCATTGCTTGTTCACAATTCCCATCAATCTCTCCCCGTCTCTTCGATTCCCAGTATAACCAATGGCATTCCCATCACTTCAATTCGCAATGCCTCTCCTGTCACGACTGCTTCGGCCGTTTTCTACCACCAATGTCTCTCTTTCCGTTGGCCCCGCAGAATCGCTCGGCGCGCAGAGTTTCCCTGAGAATGCGCAAAAGGCCACATTCGCAGCCGGTTGCTTCTGGGGCGTGGAGAGCTTGTTTCGAAAACGATTCGGGAACGGGAAGGGATTGTTAGAAACGCGGGTGGGATATTGTGGTGGAGATACACAGGCGCCCACGTATAGAGGCGTGTGTACGGGTGCGACAGGACGTATGTTGTCGGCTTCCCTCTCGCTGTGTGACTTTTCGTAATCTGCATTGCGGTTCCAACCGGAGGTAATGTATTGTTTGCGAGTTGGATGATTTGTTGAGGGACAAAAAGGAATATTTGCGGCACTGGCTGACTGGGTATGCATCAAGACGCCGAAGCGCTACAGATGACCTTTGACCCTTCCATCATTTCGTACCGTCAACTATTGGAGTTTTTTTACTCCATGCATGATCCTACGACGCAAAATCGTCAAGGCGGAGATATCGGCACCCAGTACCGCAGTGCAATCTTTACACACAGTGATGAGCAACGGCGGATTGCAGAGGCTGTCACGGAGCTGGTAAACCAGAAATGGTGGGCGAATAAAGTGGCGACCGAGATCACGCCCGCCGGCCAGTGGTGGGATGCAGAGGAATATCATCAGTTGTATCTGAATAAGAATCCCGGGGGTTATGAGTGTCCCGCGCAGTATGCAGATTCGTCTTGCTATCCTGTTTCTGAAAGCTGCAGCTAACTATCAGGTTTCACTAGTTTCATACGAAATTTCCCACCTTTGTCTTGAGGACAGAGATTGTTATGGCGACGTTCAAGTGTTGCGCATCTTAAATGAGCTGACGGCCAGAATGGAGACATTGCTTTCACAGACTACCCCGTATGGCCTACAGAGACAGCGCATGTTCGCCCTGAACCTGCAGGTTGTAGATCTCTCTACTCTGGATACACATTACTCCCTGCAACCCACATGGATTAGTGCTGGTTGAAGCTATGAATATTCCAGTCAAAGTAACAACGGAGGTAATCCCATAGGCCCAAATGAAGGCTCATAGACTTTGATACTCCTTAAATTGAACAACATTGAATGAGTGACTTCTAGGACTGGTGGGCTGTACAATCTTCGCTGTGTTCAGGGATTTGCCGCCAAGTGCTGAGTAGAGTCTAGGCCCTGGCCCGAATTGAGGCGAGGCGTTGGCACCTGACAGTTCACCACATCGGCAGTGCGATGAAGCGGCTCTTGGGAAGAGAGAGGGCTGGCGGAATACGGCCAATTGGACCCGAAATTTAGCATTGTCAAGGCTGGTTCAAAATTGTGATGCCATCTCAATGAGCACGCGCCAGCTCAGTCTGGAGAGGGAATTGCCAGCTGCAGGTTCTCTCCGCTTGTAGAAGATTCAAACAGGTTCGCTCTTCTGCTCGATTTCGAGTTGTTGGATCAAGACGTTGCCGATGACGCAGTAACTTCGCTCTGGGACCAATGCGGGGAAGCCGATAAGATAAGCCGTTGCCACAGACTAACGAACATCAAAGTCAACACCAGGTATCTCAACCTCGACCAGTCGGCTTGTGCGTGGAATGCAGCTGTGGACCGTTCGATCTCCGAGGAATGATACATGCATGCACTCCGGGTCACCAAGGCCGATTCCAGGCATCGAGATCCTCGTCCAGGAATTGCATCCAGCCGGGATCAAACTGCCCTTGCCTTGCTTAGCCGCTATTATCCCCTGGAACCACGACGTCGTTCCACCTGAGAGCTTGGGATTCTCTTCATTTCGTGAGAGGGACTATGCGGAAAATCGCGTGCAGCACTGCTTGAACGGTGGAAAGGGCGTGCTTGCAACCGTCCTCGGGCATGAAATGCATGCATATTCTCAACGTCTATCAATGCCGATACGGCTCAACTTGCGTTTCCCGGTCTAAAGCCAGGGTTTTGCCGCTCAGATTGCTAGTTTTCTTATGCCTGGAAGGCGTTGGCTGGATGTTGCCTTCGTTGCACAAGCTGCGTTGCTTTGTTGGTTAATTTATGAAGCCATCTGGCGATCACTGGAAATCTTTACTATTTAACTTGTTTCCTGTTTGCCTTAGTTTTTAAATGCGTTCTGCTTCAGTTTCCTGCTAATCACTTGATATTTGATAATATACAGAAAGATCGGAAAGCTCGTTTCCGAAATGCGTCCAGTTGCTTTTACCTACCGGCATGGCTGGTCCCGTTACTCTAAGATCCAACGCGCGGGGCGAATGTCTCAGCAACAACCCCTATATCTTGTCAGATACGTGCATCAGGGGCAGCGTCAGCAATCTGATCTATCTTCAACTCATGGGCCTACCTCTCACGGAGATGGGTTCTCTACGGGTCCGCCTGATCCCTTCACTCCTTTGAAATCGACACGTTCGGGTTCTCCCTCGCCTCTCGCGATGCTACCCTTATCAACTGTTTTGCGCTCGTTATTCGTGACTACGATATCTTCCTCACCATTCCTCCTCGCGCCCGCACTAGGCATATTGTCGTTAATAGCTAATTCCAAGTCACGAGTCCTGAATCCTGATCGGAATCCGCTATTGAAATATATTATGGCGAGAACAGTATATGCCCAATTTTGCGCTGGGGAAACACCTACTGAAGTACGCCATTGTATCCAAGGCATCAAGCATCTTGGGTATTCTGGCGTAATTCTAGGATATGCAAGGGAATTGGTCATAGACGAGAGCGAGATATCAGCTCTAGGAAAAGGTACGGGGCCGGCAAACGAAATAAAGCTACAAGAAGATATCCTGGCGTGGAGGGACGGGACGATAGCAACCGTGAAGCTAGCAGGAGAAGGCGATTTTGTGGCGATCAAGTTCACGGGAGCAGGACAAGGGGCAGTCCAGCAACTTCTTCGAAAGCAACGTCCATCCCCCGATTTTGAACAAGCGATAGTCGAGATTTGTGATACAGCCGCAGATCGAGGAGTTAGATTGCTCATCGATGCAGAACAACAAGCGGTGCAACCAGCCATCGATGCGTGGACCATTGAGTTCTCACGACGATATAACGCTGGGTCAAATCGGCGAGCTCTAATATATGGAACCTACCAGGCTTATCTGCGCTCCACGCCATGCACCCTTGCCAAACATCTGGCAATAGCACAATCGGAAGGTTTTGTACTCGGTGTGAAATTAGTTCGAGGAGCGTACTTGGGAACAGAGCCACGACACCTGATTTGGGACACCAAAGAGTCAACAGATCGGACATACAATGCGATAGCTGAAAGTCTAATAAGACAGCGATACAGTGAGGTCCTTAGAGAGCCAGAGAAAGGCCCAAAATCATTCCCTGAGGTCAATCTGGTGCTCGCGTCGCACAACCGCGCCTCCGTCCAGCGAGCCCTCGAGGTTCAAAAGGAACAAGATTGGCAAAACCAGCATCAGATTGAGATGGTGTATGCTCAATTATACGGAATGGCCGATGACATAAGCTGCGAACTCGTGGAGCGAGGTGCACGCGCTCGAACCATGGAGGGGGGTCCAGTGGAAATTCCAAAGGCATATAAAGCCCTCATCTGGGGCACTGTTGGCGAGTGCACAAAATATCTGCTTCGCAGAGGAGAAGAAAACCGGGATGCCGCGCTGAGAACGGCGGACACGCATAAGGCGATGATGAAAGAATTCAAGAGGAGAATACGGCTAGGGAGATGAATTAATCGACGGACCCGGCGGCGAGAGATGGTGCGGAATGATATAAATAGATCCATTAATGAGATTATGAGCAATATGATAATGAACGTCCGTTAACGGCTCCTTTAACTTCTCCTACCGCGGATTCTTCACAACCCAGCCCGTCGAGGGAATAAAGACACGTTGCAAAAGATATCCCAGGCCAGTCTTTCTACTCACGGTTAGCGAAAACAAACAACAAGAAATGTCCGTTTTTTGGAGAAGGGTCAAGGCAGGGCGGCCTGTCCATTGTCTAGATCTACAAAAAGAGGAAGGGCTACAAGGAAAAGGAAGAGACTTGTCTTCAAAGAGCCGCTAGAAAAGCGGTTTCGGACAAAAGGGTAGGATAGAGGTCCAGCAAGTATTCTTGGTGGCGCGTTGATATACAACCCCATTTCTAGCAGATTGCCCCTTGCGTCGTCAATGGAGTGGAATGGACGCAGATATCTCCAGCATAAAAACCCAGGCACACCCGGGAGACCCCCAGCGCGTTCCATGGACACCCGGATATAAATAACGACAATAGCCCAAATTACAGGGCTTTCGGGAATATTCCAAGTGGCATTCATGAATCATGGGACCTGTAGGCATATATGGGTCAATGGCAGGAAATTCCCCCTGATCTATCTTGCTCCTTCAGATTCTATTGAGAAGCGTTGAATAGTGATTGTGTTCAGTCTTCCAGCCAGAGTTGCCGGTGGGTTCTATCTGACAACAACACAATCACTCTACAACACTTTGACACGCCAGGCCTGGTGTGTTCCCTGAGTCGCGCCTTGTTTACATTCACAGCTCCTTGTTGGCGGGCTGCATTGACCTTCATCACTTTTGTCGTCTGCGTGTCAAGTATATTGAATTGTCTTTTCACATTTTTCTTTGAACGCAGGACCCGTCGATACCTTGCTTGCTTGCCTGTATTGATTCCAGTTCGTGCTGGCAAAGATATTTTTCCCAGTGAACCTCTCTGTACCTTGCATTTATATTCTGTTGTCCACTGGGTTCTCACAAACCCCATATTGTACCAAGAGCCTTCAGAGAGGAGACTTTTCTCTCTTCACCATCATAAGTCAGCTCCTAATATATTCTAGCAACTCGAAGGGGAAGTCCCATCAGCAGCATGGCGGAAAGGATTGATGATGCCATGGTTGATACCATCAACAAGATGAACGATATCACGGAGCATGTAAGTCGTGGACTGAATCTCGCGATCCTTGAGGAAATTCCCAAGACTTGGAAATAATGCTCACGAGATACAGCTTCGGGCTCATGGTTTCGTGGAGTCTGCAAATAGGATCGCACGAAATGTCCACGAAGTTATCAACGTCTTTACAGACGCGGTAGTCAAATTTACCGATGACCAGATGTTCATGGTTCAAGCGGTAAAGCATCCGAACAAGAAAGTAATGTAAGGAGTGCCTTTGCTGATGTTGGCTTGCTGTTTAGCCAAAGCCCACGAAGGGCCCGGCGCAGGGCCCGGCGCAGGTTGAACCCTCAGCCGCCAACGTAAACAGCCAGGTCTCGATGTTGTATTCCGACGTCGCCCGTCAAGCTCCAGTGCCCATGGCGGCTCAAAAACCTCCCAGAGCCGCCCATCATGGAGCCACCAAGGCCACAAATGCCCTCGGGCTCACCGCGACCATCCCTTCCCAAATCAACCCGGTTGTCCCAGTTGGCCATCAACCGATTTTGGAAGAGGGCGAAGAGAAGGCGGCAGTGCTGACCATTAGCGGTGTTTTCGGGCCTCACTCGCTCAATTTTCTGACTTCGAAGATTCGCGAGGGACCGCTGGTCAGCGTGGACATTAACTATCCGCAGGGTTATGCTGAAATCACATTCCAGAAATCGGCACACGCAATAGCCTTCCTAGGAGAGGAACGTGCTGTACGTGCAAGGACCGGTGCGAGTATGTTCGGAAATGCTTATAAGGTTATCTGCGCCTCGGAATTCGATTGGGATGACGAGATCCGTAAGATGGAGACCAAGCCGCGCGAGCGGCGCAGATTAACCCTTGCTCGTTCGGGACTCCTGACATGCGGCCTTACCGTTAAAAAGATCCTGAACGACATGGGACAGGTCGTTGGCTCTGACGCCATCGAGTTCATTTGGGCATTCAACACGGGAAATGGTATGTCTTTCCATCAACTTTTTCTCCGTCTTTCCTGCAGGATAAACAACAGTTCAGCGTGCTAACGAGCGCAGTGACTGCCGTCTTTAAAAGCGTTGCCACAGCAAGAGCTGTTCGAGACCACTTCCTCGCGCTGGCAGTCCACAAATCCAATCCGTACCATGAGATCCGAGTGACATTCTCAACGGATCCCTGCGAGAAACAGCTGAACCTTGACTCTCAAATCGGGATACCGCAGAGCCGGCGCCTCCGGGACCGCAGATATGGAAAGAAATGAGCCCACATCCCAGAACTTGCGAAATTGCCCGCTTCGGTTACCATGCCGGGCATGGCCGGTCTGGATAGTCAGGTTGATTGCTGCAGAGTTGTCAACGATGCGATTCATTGCCCCCGTTTTGGGCCCTTTTTGTAAATCGGAACGTGGGAATTCATCGCGACGGGATCGTCGAGACTGCAATGGGCACCCGCTTCCTTTTCATCTTTTGATCCTTTTCTTTTTATTTGCCTGCTCTTCAGATATCGCTTCAGGGGCCCTCGGCGAGCCAACATTGAGCGATGGAGTAATTGGATGTGACGTCCGTATAGGATGACGGCGGTAGTGGTTTCAGTATGGTAGTTATCTATGGATAGCTTGCAATCGCCAAATATTGAATAGCACCTCACAGATCATATTGTGCTTCCTGCCTATGATTATTGAGAGGTTGACAATCATCGGTGGGAGTTTTGAAGCGCAAAACTGAGCTTGTGCTGACGTGGTTCTTGGGTTTTCAAACTGCCACTCACCTTTGACTAAGTAACTAAATCAACTTAGTTACTCCGCAACTGACTCGTCAACCAGATAACCAGTTACACCAAAACTATCATCACTCAGTTTGGTTGATAGATCTCTACGCTTGTTAACACGGCACATTTTGCAGAGCTGAAAAGGACTGCAGAGGCAAGCCAGTGGCTACCCCATTTCCATTTATCACGTCTGCCAATTAACCGCAGCAGAGGAAAAAGATGCCGTACACACAACTCTTGAAATTATAGCGGCTAGGGTTGCAGGGCTGAGTTTTTAAGTCTAAATGTTCTGCTAAAATTCTTCTGAAGGGCATATTGAATGCTGAGATTGTTGCGTTCAATCCAGTGTGGCAAATGCGGTTTATATACATGGCCCCTATCCCGATTTATATCCAGCGTCCAAATCATGATCCTGGGAGGCTGCAATCACCATGTTCCTCCGTTTTGGGGATAGTCATACCGCAGTGGACTGGTCTCTTCCTTACAGTCGAGATATTCAACCCATTTCTTGTCGACCAATTCCCTTAGATCGAGGCCATCCTGGCCCTGGTCAATAGTGTGAAGGTTGATGCTGAGATAGCCCTTTTTCCCAGGTTGCCATTTTTCTTCGCCCATTCTCCATATCCTTGTCAATTTGCCCTCGCTTGGCTTACCCAGTTTGGCTTCCAGATCAATCTCCTCGCTCCTGCCATCAGTTGCAGCGGTGAAGCATCGAACGCCGCAGGTGGAGCAGAAGAACCAATTGAGGTATTCCTCAAAGCAGGTATAGTTTGACAAGGCGTCAGGGTCGGTTGGGGAGAGGAGCACAAAGTCTTGCGCGGGATTGGGCAGCCGCATATGGAAAAAGCCCGTTTTGTGGCACGTCGAGCAGTTGCACTTGTAAAAACGCAGGGTGTTTTGACGATTGATATCGAGGCCGACGGCTGGCGGTAGAGCAACGAATGCAATGTACCGCACTTTGCCACAGTGGCAGGAACCGTGATAGGGGCGGCGACTGGACGAGGAGGCCATCGGAGCGGAAGACATTTTGTTTGGGGAGAAACCAGCGGTTGAATCAGCACGGCTTTTGCAGGGGAGATTTCTAATCACAAACTCCAGGTGCCACAGAGCTGTATCGGAACCTTTTTATTTGCACTGGTCGCTAGGCAGAAGCGTGATGCGCCCGCGCCAGCTGCGCAACCCCGCATCACTTGCCTGGAATACGGGCTGATCCGTCCCAAATTCGTCACAGTCAGCAGACAACCAGAACAGGAAGACTGTGCAAGCTCGCTGCGGAGCTGTTCAGGTGGATCCAAAGTAGCGTCCGCTTGCACGGAGAATGAGCTCCACGGGGTATATCCGGAAGTTTTGGAGGCCTTTGAAAATTTCTCGGGGCATTTCACCAGCTCCATATCTGAGAACTCAGCTCCCAAACTCCATATCCGCCCCTGAATACGAAGTACTCTGTACCACGGGCGTGAAAGGGTCTGAGATGCGTGTGAGCCTGTGAGAGCTGCTTCCGAGAGCCGCGCGTGGTGTCACCGGGTGTAGATCCAGCCAATGGACGTGCGGAGAATCCAATTAATTTATTTCCACGCGGCTGCTTTTCAAGTGAGACATCAGTGGTACTGGAAGTGGAGACGCTAGAGGGTATATGCTGGTTTGATTTGCTGCAGTAAAGTGTGGCTGGCAGAAAAAATGCTTATCTGTTGGGGCGGGTGCGTGGCCTTAATCCACGCATAATTCCTCGCTCCCTATTGGCGGGAACTTTGGTTGGCTCGCTGCTGATTGGTGCAGCTGCAATGCACCCCTGACCTGCGTCCCATCGGCCCCAATCTCGCTCGGGACCGCATTCTATTGCCGCATCCCCTCCCCTGAGGATCCTCTTCTTTTCCATCTCTCTTCGTCTTCTGTTCCCCATCGCTGGTCATCTCGTCCCAAGGAAAGCCATCACTCGCTTCGTGCTCCTTGGAGATCGAGCCCTCTAGTCTCTCGTTTTAGACAACTGCTCATTCGCAGGGCTCTCCATCGGTCCTGCCTGTTTGCGGAGTGGTAGCCAACAATCTGGTTGTTGTCCGCATTGCTTCTTATCTGTTTCTATATATTCTCACTGTCGACCGTGTATATATATATATATATATATATACCTATCTTATCGCAAAGTCGGCTCCATACTATCTTTTAATCACTGCGTACTATTCTTTTCACCATGACTCGCCTCGGCGCCTTCGCTGCTTTGGCCTTGGCCTTTTCGTCGCAAGTTTTCGTAGCTGCCGCGCCCCAAAAATGCAGCCCAAGCAAGAAATGCCCTTCAAGCGCTCCGTGCTGCTCTCGTGAGTGCTGCCCCGCGTACTGTCTTCAAATCTCCCCGGCTAACATTATCTTGTCTTGAATAGAATACGGAGACTGCGGTTCTGGAGCCTACTGCCTTGGTGGATGTGATGCAAAATCGTCCTTTGCCATTGACTCCTGCGTCCCGGCGCCCGTCTGCAAGAGCAAAACGTACCGATGGGATAACCTCGACGGAGTTGTACCCAACACCAAGTACCTTGGAGATATCGAACAAGGAGACTGGGTATCCAGCGGTGAACCGCTAACAAGTAATGGCAATCTACTATTGACCATGGCTCCGGACACCGTTGGCACACTCATGGCTAACAACCACTACATGTGGTACGGCAAAACAACCGCCAAGCTAAAGACTAGCCGCGGAAAAGGTGTTGTGACGGCATTCATTCTCCTCTCTGACGTCAAAGATGAAATCGACTTCGAATTTATCGGTGCCGATTTGGACACGGCTCAAACCAACTACTACTTTCAAGGAATTACCGACTGTCAGTCTCTTCGCACTCGCATATTTGCCATTGATTCGTCTGAGAACCATACTTACAGTTAGCTTGCAGATACCAATGGAAAAAATGCATCCGCTCCCAGTTCCTACGATACATTCCACACATACGAGATTGACTGGACTCCAGAATCGATTACGTGGTCCATCAATGGAAAGCCCGTTCGTGTGACGAAGAGGTCGGACACCTTCAACGAGACATCTAATCAATACGCCTATCCTCAATCCCCATCCCGAGTGCAACTCTCGCTCTGGCCCGCTGGGCTTCCAAGCAATGGCGAAGGCACAATCAACTGGGCTGGCGGCCTGGTCGACTGGGGCCATGAAGATATCAAGAACCACGGGTATTATTATGCTATGTTTGACGAAGTATCGATTGAGTGCTACGATCCTCCAAAGGGCGCCAAGATCGAAGGCAAGAAGTCTTACGTTCTCACCGACCTAAAAGGCACTGAAGATGCCTTCAAGATTACCGATGACGATACCGCTTTGAAGTCGTTCTTGGGCAACGGCCGTGACATGGATAAAGACTACCCATCTCCCTCTGGAACCCGTAAACCCAGTCAAACCAGCGATATTGCTGTCATTCCTGGTTTGAGCGGTGCTGGGCCCGGCGCCGACGGCACTCGAGGAGATGAGCCTAGTGATGGTGGTTCCCCTGGCGGCAATGGCGGCAATGGTGGCAGCAAGCCAAACCCGTCGGATTTCTCTCAAGGTGGTAACGGAGGTGACGAGCAGAGCGGCGCATCGCCACAAGGCGAGCAGATGCTAAAAGGATCGTTGTTCGCAGTCCTTGTGGCTCTTGTCGTGCTCGTTGCTATGTAATACATGTTCTATCTTTGGAAGGGTAATAACCAGTTGTCATTACCGGTGTATATGTTTTTGCGAACAGTATTTTCCCATATCTTCTTGCAATTCAAAATTTTTGGGTTGCAGGTATACGCTTTAACCGGCTCTTTTCAGCTCATTGATATTGTCCGGCATGATGAGACGCCTTTAGTTTGGTGCTAATAGCGATTCAGGTTCAATATTATTATCAGTTTCGAGCGGTGCTTATATTGATTAATCGTTTTTGGTCGAATAAGACAAACTTCAGCCACTCAATTCACAAAAAATACTACCAAAAGCAATTTGCTAAAATTGTCATTTCTATCTGACATGCGCTATAGTGCACGACTGAGATCTGCAAGCCAGACTCTAGCTCATGATCTGTCAGCATGAGTCTCACATGA